CATGAATCAAATATGCACTTTTATTCATTTACAATAAACTCATAAAGTACATCATTCTGATTGAAGCTAAGGGCATACAAAACTGTCTAACAAACGGCTCCTTCAAAAATTAAGTTTTCTGTTTGGGGGACATGGGCAGCATGGGAGAGATGTCTTACTAAAGAAGTGCTTCTGAAAAAAAGGTTCTATTTGCAATGACTTGAGGTGCTGTCTCTGCAACCTGGAAGTTGAGTCTTCAAATTACCTGTTCTTACGGTGCAATTTCAGCACAACAGTATGGAATCATTTTTAAGGCTCTAAATCTGCCCGTTTCAGTGAAAGCTCTACTAGAAGAATGGTACAATGTCTGGTTTGTCTAAGAAAGGTATAGTTTGTTGGTCCTCTGTTCCTTTGGCAATTTTTTTGGGCCTTATGGAGTGAGAGGAACAACAGAATTTTTGTGCATACAGCATCATCTGAAGCTGAAGTTATCAATCTCGCTTTAGGTGTCATTAGGAATTGGTTGTCTGTATTTAACAATTTCAAAGATGCTACTCTTGATTGTTCTTGTTTGAAGGTGGACTTTTTTTTGAGGCCCTCCTGGCTATACTTGTACAGATTTTTTTTTTTTAATTTTTTTGTACAAAGGACCTTATACTTCATACTTTTACATTAATACAATTATACTTTACCTTCTCTCAAAAAAAGGTGCAAAGGTAATTAGCAACCACAACAAGGAAATGCAGCCAGACTTGGCAGTGGTAATACCTTTTCACAAAGTAGAGCAGGGGAAAACTCTGTATAAACCCATGCAGAGCACATGGAAGAAGCTCTATTGGAATCTATGAGTAAAATTGTCAAGTACCCTACTCACAAGAGGTAATCATGCTTGGTAGGTTATTATTATTTTTTCTTTTGAGAAAAAGAGTAGCTTTATAAATTATTGAAGAGATAAAAGAGAGTTACATGAGATGATGTACAAAGGCTAGTCACACACAGGTTACAAAGGCATTATACTATTACTATAAAAGTTTTCCCTGTGAGCACCAGACTTGGATAAATTATCTGCTACAGAGTTTAAATTCCTGGGAGTCCAGATTAAAGAACCATTCAAGTAGTGTATCAGATCTCTAGCCTCGTCTAGGTAGTGAGCCAGAATCACCTTTGACCACCAGGTTGGTCAGGCCTAGTCTTCTTGTGATATGGAGGCCATTTAAAACTGTTACGAGTTCAGCCGTTGTAGTGTCTGCAGTCCCTAATGGGCCACTAAAGAGCCACAAGGACTACCATCCCTCCTCAAAAAACACACCCCCGCAACCAGCTAGACCCGGGTTCCCTAGAGCACTTCCATCAATACAAGGTCACCTCCTCCTCTTCCCTTGACTGGGGAAGGTTAGTAGCTCTAATAGCACTAGGTGAAGAGAACAGCAGCTCCACCAGGTTCTGCTGAAGCATGTTCAGAGAGAAGTCTTTGTACATCTTTGAATTCATCATCCACAAATTGCAAAGGTGAGAGATATGAGAGCTTAGGTCTTCCAAGGTTCTAGCTTTGTTGTTAAAAATGCGGTTGTTTCATTCTTCCCAAACACCCCACATGACTGCTTGGTAGGTTATTTGATTTCCCAAAGGCTCATATTGAATGGAAAAGTAAAGAGAGAAAAAAAGAACTGGTAGGACATTTGGGACAATAAATAACTTGTCCTTAAAAAATGGAAGGATAAAGCCATCTTATGTGCAAACTCCCCAATTAGAAGGGTAAAATCACAATAAATGGTAAAAATACAAGTAATTTGGTCGTTGGGTTGATTTTCTTCATCTTTTTTTGAAAGAAGGTAAGGTAATTTTATTGAAATAAGAATAATAGAACAATAGGATCCCCCCCAAAAAACAACACTTGGGGAAGGATCAGACAGACCATACACCATTACAGATGCCAGAAGTTCCTAGAGATCAACCTAGCCCCAAGATGAGAGACCTGAATTCCCATTACAGCCAAGACTGAAGAGAACAATTTTCCAAATGAAAAGACGATCAGCTCTTCTGGATCTTTGGAAGTACTGTGGAAGAGCCTTTTATTTCTTTCTGCCCAAATAGTACTGATTACAGCAGCTGGAATAGACCCTCACAGACTTCTAGCAAGCTTTGACAGGCCCTGTCAAAACAATATGATACAAAGGAGTATAAGTAACTAAGGAAATTAAGTAGTTATATGTAAAGCCATAAATTAAACGGCTAAAATGATTTTATGTGGGATAAGTTTGTAAACATATTAATAAATCATAAAACTATATATAAAAGGTAAGAAAATATTTTTTTCCTTCTTTTTTCCTTTTTTTCTAAAATCATCTTRTGCAGTTTAAAAAGGCAATCATTGAAAAGGAAGTAGCTCATTAAGACGGGCTTTACCACAACACACAACACAACCATATGATTTTTTTTTTCCATATTGCATATGTTTGTATGAAAGGAAAGCTTAAAATCTGTTTCTCCCTTCTAAGGTTCTTCAACACAACAACATGTAAAGCATTGACTTTGGCTCATGGAAGAGGCTCTAGCTTCTCAATGAGGAGCTAAAAGATGACAAAGGTAGAAAACACAAGAAAAGACGGGAAGTTTCACTTGAAATTGTTTTTGAATCTTTTAGATTTGAACATAGGTTACCAGTCGATATAACTTTTTATCAAATTAATAAAATAGATTGGGGAAGTTATTAATAAACAATCTTCAATTAACTAAATGCAATTCCAAATGTTTCAATATCTGAATGCTACAATTGAGTCCTACTCTTTTCCATATGCAGCACACAAATAAATGCTTAACTTTAATGTATACAAGTTTTTAAAGTCTAGTTATGATGGAAAATGCACTTGACTTGAATTTCATTGATTGATGCAGGTGATTCTTATTCTCAAAGTCCAACTAAGGTTTCTACAATTTATGGGGTAGTTGGAACAATTAGGTTACTTGCAGGTATCCTTTTATAGACAGTGCATGAATACAATTTGTTATACTGTCAAGAATTTAACTTGTATTTCATTGCAAGAAGCATGCGACACCAACTAGTAGGTGGTTAATGACCTAACCACCCAAATCATTTAATTGGTGCATATTTTATGTAATTGTTAACAGGTGTAATATATGTACTGTTCACAAACTTAATACCTGCAGGGGTATTTTTGTAATTCTGTAGACATATTGTTATGTACGGCCAGAATAGTATAAATGCAAAGCTTCACTCGACTGAAGCTAAGTTTTGTTGAGGCCTTAACTCAGTTGCCTCTTATTCTTCTTCCTCTTCTCCTTCTTCCTTCTTCTTTTCTCCTTCTTCTTTTCTCCTTTTTCTTTTCTTCTCCTTCTTGGCCTCCTGCTCAACAATAATGTTGTAATTTCTCTAGTTAACTTGGAAGAGGGCGACAATTGTATGGGTTACAGGAGTTGTTGTCTTGCTGATCAGTACAAGGTTAACTCAGGACATCAGTTCTCTTGTGTTGACATGAGAAAATTTCCTTATGCAAATAGAATGTTATGGTCTCATATTTTGACTCATTTGCACACAAATCCTTTATTTATTATTTCCTTGTTCTGTCAGGTAATGACAAGCTTGAGATATCAAGAACCAATTGAAAAGAAATGAAAAGAAGATCTTTAGACAGGAAAAAGAATTTGCTGCAATAATTGGCAACTATGCTAGATCAGAAATTATAGTGGAATCTTCTTTGGATCTTTGTTTACTTCTTGGTCTAGGCCCTAGGTGTATAAAAGATATAAAACTTTTGCAGGTTCTTCTATAATAGTAGCCTTGCAGGCTTATTATAATCTGCTGGCAAAATGATATTGAAAAAAACTTTTCCATATCATTATGGCTATCATATTTACTTATGACCTTGATTTTATTTTATTTATTGATCTTCTTAATTTTTGTACAGGAACATACGTTCTTATAATTACTTCTCGTAAGGAAGTTGGCAGCTATCTTGGTTTTCCCATTTTCCGGGTGATGTCTATGAGGTTTCTATCGTGCAATGATGCTTTGCAGCTTTCAACTGCTCAAGAAGTAGGGGTTTCTTTTGCCAATTTCCCTGGAACTGGAATCTACAAGTTTTCCTTGTAAAGATTGAAATACCTAAAATTTTAACCTGGAAATTTGGCTAGAAATTTATCATAGTGCAAGTTTATCATTCATTTTGTGCAGAAAAAGGATGAAGCTTACTTCATAACTCTGTTGAAGGCTGTGGAATCAACTCCGGGTTTGTATTATTCATATGAAACAGATCTGACATTAAAGTAAGTTCTTTTTGTTTTCTTTTTTGCTTAATCATTTTTCTAATTGTATTGCAAGGCAGATGGTTCTTATAGTAAATCATGACTATGATAATTATCTCAGAGGTAATTTCTATATCATACCAAAACTGACATCTTCTAGATGCATCTTGTCATGTTTACCAGCTTACAAAGAACATGCAACTTAGCAGAAGGGAGAGCAAGCAAACCACTTTGGAAGCAGGTCTTTTGGATTTATTTTTTCATTCTTTATAACGCAATTGCTGTACATACTACAGTGGAACTTTCAATTTCTTAAGTAATTTTCATTTCTTGGAGACTTTTTCTAAACTACTTCATCTTAAGTCAGGCGTGCTTCTATTGTTTAATATATGCTCCATGACTTCATTTTCAGATTTTCTTGAGCTTCTGATGTTTTATTCAAATTTCAGGCTGATCCTCGCTTTGTTTGGAACAGAAATTTGTTGGATGAGCTTATTGAGTGTAAGGTTAGATACTGTTCCTTCAGTACAGATAACTTCTGGGATATGGTCAACTAATATATTTGATATCTCTAATATGCCATGGCCTTTTCTCCTTGCAGCTTGACGCATTCATCATTCCTTTGGTACAAGGAAGTATCCTAAGACTTACCACTACTTTATGACTGCTTTCTAATTTTCATTATTCATCTATTCTTGTATTCTCGTTCTGTGAATATTTGTTTTTGTACCCGTTCTTTTGTTCATGATACAACAAAAGCTGATGGATACATCGAATGCATACAATCATCTCTAGAGTTCTCACTTAACCAAGGCTTAGGCTTTCAGACTGCACAGTTCACAATTAAAAGTTCTATAGCCAATATTACTTTGGTTTCAAGGAGGTGCACACGACGTCTAGGTATGATGTTATCGTGATGAACAACTGAAGCTTAGTTGATTAGGTTATATGGTGGATTCTAATGAGGTTATGGCAGAATGATAAATTTGGTCCACACTGATAAAAAACTATGAATATGAACCTTAGGAACTAGAATGTGGAGAAGAGGAGCTAACCTTGAAGGAGATACTGCCAATTTTATTGAGACTGAGCAGTTGTTTGAGTTTGAAGGTTTCAGATCCTCATTTTTGCAGGTAGTTTCACTGCATTTTGTGCTTTTGTACTTCATATTTCTACATCATCATGATCTTTTTGGGTTTTATGTTATTAATTCTGACTGATAAGTTCTGGCTTTTTTTTTCTTCTTTTTTTTCCTGATCAATAGGCAATGGCAATGACAGAAAGATGTTTTATTAAATTCATCAAAAAAAAAAGATGTTTTATTAATAGACAAGAGGAGAACCACTTTTATTTAAGAGGCCTAATAGCAGGGAACAAGATCAGTAAAAGTCTAATAACAAAAAGAAAAAAGCACAACTGCACAAGACATCATAGATGAATCAGCAAATAAATGACAAGAACTCCATACAATTCGAATTCATGCTAAAACTTAGCTTTGTCGCTGTACCCCTGGACATGGATCCCCTGTACTCAAGGTCCATTCTGCCTACTAGCAAGTGTCAGCTAAACCATTACCAGATTAATGGATCAACCTGAATGAGCTGTTCAGGAGGGAAAGCCTTTGCTTCCCTAAGTAGAAATCTTTTTTTTTTTCTTTTGAAACTGTAAGGTAAAGTATTTTATTAAATGCCAAAACAAGAAATAAGGATAACTCCTGTACAATGAGATTCTGTAGAAGGGAAAACCAAACTGACCCAACTACAATAAGCTCAATACCAGCAAAAAAAATCTTATGGATACTTGACAAAAATAAAATCCCAAAGGCATCTAACCTAAGTAGAAATCTGAAAGGCCATTAACCTTCTTCATCTGGAGGCATCTTCTATTACCATACTGCTTCAACCTAAAGAACAGGTCAGTTATGGACAGTATAGAAGAAGCACTTAGTGTGATTGTCTCACCAGAGCTCAAGTCCATTTGTGTGCTTTATTTGGGCCTGGTTCTTTTCTATCTTTGGTTGCAGGTGGACACCTCCCCCGGACGTGACAAGCCTTTTTGACCCAAGCTTTTTCAGGCAACCGAAGAGACGTGGAAGATTAATGTGGAGAGCAACAAGAGCAGCTTGGGAAGAAAGGAACAATAGGATCTCTAAAGGAGTGGAGAAATCCAAGGAGGAAATTGTAGAAAGAATAATCATTATGACTATTCAATGGTTGAAAACTTTGGATTTATTTAAAGACTTCTTAGCTGAAGATACTTATAGGAATTGGGGAGTGGTGGCATCTACAACTTCCATAAAACCTACTGTGCAGGAATTGTGGTCCCCACCAACACAACAAATAGTGAAACTGAACTTTGACAAGAGTTCTAGAGGTAAACCTGGGCCCTTTAGGTATAGGGGAAGTATTCAGAGATGAAAATGGCAGAATTGTGGCTATATTTTTGGGGCCAATAGGAGTGGGGGATTCATTGAGAGCGGAGGTGATGCCCTTGCTTCAAGGTGTAAAATATGCCAAACAATTGGGGGGTTACACCAAATTGAGATAGAGGGAGACTCTAAATTGTTGATTGGTTGGCTGCAATCAGGTAAGTTGGGAGCTTGGATTTATAGACAGCCTACAAGGGAAATCCTCAATACAACAAGGGAGATTGGTGCCTGCTTCAAATGGACAAGGAGATCAGCTAATGGTTTGGCTGATACATCGGCTAAACAAGGGACTGTGTGGGAGAGAATGTTCTAGGCAGTTTTGTAAGAAAGACTATTGGGGACCCAACACCTATTTAGGGGTTGACAGTTGTACTTAATTTGTATTAATGGAGTTACCGTTTCCAATAAAAAAAAGAAGCGTTTAGTGAGTTCCCTTAAACTGGAACTCAGAACTCAACAGATTATTACCTTTTGATTCCTAAAGACCTCACCCCCAGGAGGGTCCAGGATCGCCTTGGGAGAACCCATCAAAATTGTGTTATCACAGCACCATCCAGTGCAATTCAATCGCAGACAGTTTGCCTTCTCTATTGTGTAAACCAAGCCACAACTTGTTGCCCTCTTAGGATGGAGTCCATAAAAACACCCTTTTTTGGTAATGCGATATAAACACCCTTGGACCCCTCTTTTGTAGATATACAACGGGCCACCTCACTATAAAGTTCTGAAATAAGTATTTCTTTTGGAAAGGGTATTAATAGTTTTGAAGTGCTAGCATTAATAATGAGTGATTGATAATATTTAAAAAAGGACAATTTATTTGACAGTGAAGTGTCAGTGTTCAGAGACGATGTATTTGAAAGTTTAGTCACTATAAAATTAAACCTACGTGAAGCCCAATGGTATCTTAATCCTAAAGTGGAGAGCAATAGTCCACTGTTTGTGAATGTGAAGATTGATTAATCGAAAAGCACAAAACTCTGTAGATATCAATATCTTATTTTTAGTAAATATGTGGCTCTTGTACCATAAGTACAGATTGGACATGATTATTTTTAATCTGGTTTAGTTAAATGTTACTTAGGTAATACTAGGGGATCAATTTGCCTTGCAAGGGCCTTTTCCAGCTGCATTAGGTCTTCATTTACCCATACTATTCTCAAACAGGTTAAATAAAAATCTACATCTAAGGAACTTCTCTTTATTTTCTTAAATCTTTATTTTAAATGTAAACAACTAAATTTTTATCATCTAGTTATGCTAAAAGGTCCTTTTGTACAATGGATGTAAGTAATAATTATTCTTACAAGGTTAACTCAACTTAACAAAGCCTCATCCCAACTATATGGAGTCAGCTATATGAATCATATTCTACCTCTCTGCTCTAATTATTCTCACAAGAAAAGGTGTTAAGTATTTCAAGTTTGATGCTTGGGTTGTGGGTGGGAGGATTTAAGAGAAAGGGGAAGGGAAATGAGTAGCAATATTAAAATTAGAAAATTCCTAAAGAAGTCTTGTCGCTTGTTCTTATCATTTATGTGTGCAATAGTATCTCAGGGGATGTTTGGCAATGGCTGAAGTGGCTGAATTGAATGGTTTGTTGCTTTGTCTTGTAGTGTATAAGCCGTTGAGTAGGTTCTGTTCTCCTTAATGGCTGAATGGCATGTTAGGTTGGTCACTGTAACTCCTAAATGTTTTATTATTTGACTGTTTAATCCACTAAAAGACAAAGCAATAATTCATTCAGTTTAGCCACTTCAGCCATTACTAAATGCTCCCTTATTCCTTGGTTTTAAGTGTATTTTAGTTTTGGTCATGTACACATTGCATCATAATTGCCCAAGTGGCTGCTAACTACCCTTCAGGCCAATACAACTAGGTGTTGCCAGGATGCCTTCACTGCAACGATATTCTTTTTAGTCCTTGGAAAATCATATTCTTTCTTCTCATTTTCCATTAATTAGTAATGTTTTGATTATTATAATGGGAGAGATTGCATATCGTGCTTCTCCAAGGGTTGCTTGTACTGTTTGAATCTTTTTTCTTTTTGAGGAAGGGTAAAGTAATTTTATTAAATCAGAAAGAATACAACAGATCCCCCCAAGAGAAGCACCTTGGAAAGGAATCAGTCAACCCAGAACAACATTGATATTAATAAACTCCTCATTTATAAAAAAAAATCATATTCTTTCTAGTGATAATTATTGATGCATAATTATCATTACCACTTTTTAGTTTTTATTGAGAATAAAAATGACATAAATTACTTTGCTTTTTTCAAAAAAAGAAAAAAAGAAAAATGCTGAGCAAGGAGCAATGAGGGACCAATTGTTTTGGGCAAGCTTGTAATCCAAATGATTGGGGAGAGATTTAAGTCTCTCTTAAAGCAAAATGTAAATTTGTACATTACAATTATACTTATTAATGAAATTTCAGTTAATTATCAAAAAAATGACATAAATGCTGAAATAGTGGGTACCCCTGGTCAAGAAAATGTGTTTGAAAGTGAACTGATGAACTTGATCATCCTCATGATCTAAGCCTTGCTCCAACTTTAAGGGGTTCACTACATGAATCCTGTTTTGCCACCCCATTCTGTTCAGTGCCATATCCATTGTTAATCATGAGTGCTTAAATCATTTCTTACTACAATCCATATCCTTTTTGGTCTGCCCCCAGCCCTTCTAGCCCCTTCAACTTGCAACAGATCACTTCTTCTTAGGGGTGTTATAGATGGTCTTCTATGTACACGACTAGACCATCTTAATCTATTATCTCTCATATTATCACCTATTGGAGCTACTCCTAGGTTTCTTGATTTCATTCCTAACCCTATCCTTCTAATTTTCCCACTCATCCTTCTTAGCAATAACATACGCATTTCTGCATACTCATTTTTTGGACATGTTTCTTCACTGCCCAACGCTTTGCTCTATACAACTTTTCTGGCCTTACAACTGTTTTATGGAATTTTCCTTTTAACATAATTGGTATTCACCTATTACATAAGATTCCAGATGCAACCCTCCATTTTGTCTATCCTGCTCTAATTCTATGGGCAACATCATCCTTACTTTGCGAGTATGCATAGTTGTTCCACTTGCAACCACAAACTAAACTGTGGAAATCATTCCTCAATAACCTGGTGGGTGCCCTGTGAAATGAAATATGATTTCATTGTGATTTTCCTTTTCATTTTAGAGTACAAGTTCAGCATCTAAATGGACCCGTTGATAGTTGATAATATATTATTTTTTTCCAAGTTAGGAATACTTTGTGTTACATGTTGTAAAACTGTTATAACATACAGGTATAGGTTATGCATAATGAAGACCAATTTCAGATTTCTGATAAAACACCAGAAGCTCATTCCAGGTTTTCTTGAAAATATACTTATTTACAATTGTTATTAACAATTTGGTGCATCCATTTCAGGTAATCAGGATCAGTTGAAATGTATGTAAAACTAAAACGAAATGACTCAACCCTCAAGAACAGGCTAAATAAATGAGATTGTCCAGTGAAGACATTGAAGTCAATATTGCTTTTAAAGTTTTGGGTAACGTACTAGGAAGTAGGAATAAGTGGTTCCTGAGCTGATCAGGCCTTTATAAAGGGGGCTTCTTTCTATTGAAATTCATTTATTTTATATGCATCTCAGAAAACTATAAATGCATATTTATGGATTTGGATTTAATCAGATTGATAATATTAATCCTCAGGAATTGACAGTATGACTATGACCCATTCAATAATGATGTTTGGAAGTTGGTTTTAGAAATTAATTTACTCTTTTACCATCATCCTTGTTGATGCATATGCCGACTTATATCTGGTTGAATTGAAATGCATCCAACTGCTTAAATCAAATGCCTCTTAATAATACTTGCACTTTAGGATCAACACAATAGTTGTTTCATCACAGTTATATGGCTTGACATTGCTTTTTTAGATACCTGTCAGAGATGTTGCAATTGCACAGATCTATTTTAAGACGTTTCTGTCTATAGCTGCCTCTGATGATTACTGATTTTGTAGTTTCAAATTTAGTCAGACCAAATGTATCCACCTGTGTGTCTCATATTTTGAATTGAATTAGTCGTGTGGAAAGTTGGCCTGGGGTTAACTGTTAAATAATAACAAAATTAACCACTTAGATTGATGTACATTTTCTTCTGTACTCATTTGCAGTTGTCTGTCCAAATTGAAATTACATGTTGTTTATATAATAAATGCACATCTCTTTTTCAGATTCGGGGTTCAATTCCACTTCTTTGGGAGCAAATTGTGGATTTGAGTTATAAACCACGACTTAGAATAATTAATCATGAAGAAACAGTATGTAGATGCTCTAAGGTGGTTCTCTATTGATTATATTTTATATTGACCAGCATTTGGTTATATGCATATTTTTTTAATCTTTTGCTTTCAGCCAAAAGCTGTGGAACGACATTTTCATGATTTGACACAAAGATATGGAGAGACCGTGGCAGTTGACTTAACTGATAAAGTAGGGATTTTCTCTCAGTTTTTCATTGCATAAGAAATTTTTACATTTTCAAACCTACATTTCATTTTTTTCCCTAGCCCCCCTCAAAATTATAAGGAATCATGTTACTACATAGCAGATAATAGCAGAAGTGTGTTATTTATTTATTGATTGGTAATAGATCATAGACTTCTATTGATTGTTAAAAAGGTACAGATGCAAATATGCACACCCTTATTGGCATGGGATGTAACTGAGCCCCAAGGCCTAGCAATCATATTCATACAGTGTTGTCAGATTCAAAGTGGACTGCACAGTTGGACTGTCAGAGCTGGGAACTGGCAGGCAAAATGTTTTTTTTTTTTTTTTTGAGTTGCCCATTTCTTAGAAATGTTGACTTGATCAAACTTACCACTAAAACATGCTATAATAAATGTTGTAGCCTCTAGTATTTACTGTTTTATGCTTACTTGATGTAAAATAGCTTTAAAAGATGCTTTGGAACCATTATTATTTTTAGAACCATTTTCTATTTTCTACAATTGTTATTTTTGTAATTTTCTATCAAAATGGTTCAACATCCAGTCCATGTCTGGAAAATTTGCATTTGCATTATTTTTTATAGGTAAAAGATAGAATTTAATTAAGAAATAGCAGAAACAACTTATACAATGAGCTTCCCACAGAGAGGCGCAAGGTGCAGGTGCAACCCCAAAAACAGTAGCAAATTACAATTGAGCCCAGAAAAGATGATCCCTATGCACCCCTTGCTTAGCTAGACAGTTAACTATCCCATTAGCCGATTTCCTTTCTCACTGAATTCTTACTGTCATATTGGAAGTCAACCATTTAAACCTCTTCACAGCTTCCCTGTAGGTCCAAGCAATGGTGTCTGGACTCCTTAGCCACCCAACTATCAGCTTTGAATCCCTTTCAATTAGTAAACTACCAATGCTCATCTCTCTAGCAAAGTGTACCCTCTGCAAGACAGCTTGAAACTCAACTTGGATAGAGTCCTCCTCACCAATAGGATCTGAGAAAAGAGCAATTATACTACCACCTACATTCCTCAATTTGCATTTACATTATCAGTAGCCTGTGCCTACCCCAGAGGACCTGGTTACAGAGAATCCTACTATACCCCTCTTGTTGGATAGTCTGCTATGTTCTTTGTTGAACTTCTGACCCATCTGAAAGGTGGTGGGAATGTGTGGTACTCTTATCACAACTTTTGCAGGCAATGCCTTTTTTTTTTTTTAATTTATGTCCTACATTCTTCCTATATTCATGTAACCTATGTAGTTTTGGTTTAAGATCTTTATTTTTGGGTTCTTGGATTCCATCTGGTTCTTCTTCCTAGCTAGATTGATGATGTATCATAACCATTTAAAAGTGGGCTTAGGGATGAGAATGGTGGAAATGTGAGAGAAATACTTCTGTTTGTGCTTTCATCAAAAGTCAAAACTTTCAGATAAGCTAATTTTGCAACTTTTGTTCTTGTTCCCATAAATTTCATTTGAAGTATTAACTTTGACCTAGATTTATAATATCCTCAATTTCCACATAAACAAATGATGACCTCTGTTGAGTTTATACCAAGGACCACACATTATGTTGATAACTGGATGGTATCCAGTGGATAGATCACAGGTGTCAATTCATCATGTCATTTGTTTACTTCCAAGAGTTAATCCTATTTCAAGAAATTGTAAAAATGTCATGTCCCTCCTTTTTTTTTTGTTACTACTGCAGCATGGTGATGAAGGTCAACTGAGTATGGCATATGCTTCTGAAATGGAAAAGCTTCCACATGTAAGGTATCTCTCTCTCTCTCTCTTGCTCTACATGGAGTCAATATCTGTATTTTGCAATAAAAAAAATCTGTAGTGAGTTCTCCCCTGCTCCCGCACTTACCAAGAAAAGAACAGAAAAAAGAAAAGATAAAGGGAAAAAAATCATGGTCTGTATAATGCACAGCATCATATTAAATTGGAAACTTTGTCATCTCAGTGTTCATTAACATGATTGTTGGATTTTCAGTTGACAAGTTGGTTGATGTTTACACATGACTTGGTTGGGTTTGATTCTAGTACATGTCAATCCTGAGTTGGTGGGATTACTCTATATCTTTACATGTTTTTTACTTTGAAGTTAGACTAGTGTCATACCTCGTGAACATGTCATAGTTAGTGTAGAGATAAATGGTTAGTTATTAGTTATTTATTTATTGTTTATTGCCTTTTATTTGTTATTCTCTCATTTAGCTATGTTATAGGCAGCAGGGGCAGGGGCACTTTGGTCATTGCACTATAAATTTAGATGTCATTATAAATACCATTATTTGGGGTAGCAGACCAACTATTCAACTGCTCCCCTTTTTCCCTTCCACCATTCAATCTTCTCTCATTCACTGTTATTTCTCTTCTGTACTCCTATTCTTATTATTTCTTTACTTTTTTTTTATCTGAAATATTATTCTGCTGGGTATCTTCTCATCAAGTGAGCAGGTACCAATCCTCTTTTAGATCTCATGTTGACCTAATCAAATCAGTTGCATGAGATAGATTAAGGTCTGACTTTTCTATCAGTTGGAGCCTGATTCTTGGAGATTTTTTTTCCTGCTCAAGAATGCTGCTTGGACAGTTCCAGAAATCAGGAAGAATCAGAGAGAACCAGGTTGGTTTTTTATTAAGGGTTGAATTCAGTGTTTGAGGGTGATACTCAGTATTTTCTGGCCATATTTTCTTTCCTCCTTGAAATGGACTGCATCTGGAGAGAGTGACTGTAGGTTTTCTACACTCTCCAAGGTTCGGCCTAGGGTTTTCTCAAGGAGAGATGCCTGAAACTGATCTTTGAATAAAGTGTTTCAGATCCGGGTTGTTTCTTAGCCTCTAAAGGAGAGTTCTATTGCTGTTAAAATGGTGGATTGGAGTTTGTGCTGCTCTCCGGGTTGTTTTTACCATAGCTAGATTGTTATGTGTTGGGTGCTTGGTACTTAGTTTTGTTTTGTGATCATGGAGTTGCCCCCTGGTTTTCATTGATGAAGTGACAGAGAAGGTGTGTAAGTTAAGTAAGGCTTTACATGGGCTGAAACAATCTCTTAGAGCTTGGTTTGACAGACTCAAGCATGCATTAGAGAAGTATGGTTATATACAGGCGCAGACTAATCGTACTCTATTAAGAGAGATGGGTCTTTATTGACTATCCTTGTGGTTTATGTATATGGTGTTGTGGTGATTGGCAACAATGTAGACAACATTGATTCCCTTAAGAAGCTCCACAATAGGGAGTTTGAGGTGAAAGATTTGGGTGAGTTAAGGTATTTTCTGGGGATTGAAGTGCTTGGTCTGAACATGGCATATTTGTCTCCCAGAGGAAGTATGCCCTCAATTATCTCCAAGAAATTGGTAAGTTGGATGTAAAGCCAGTAGATACATCTATTTGAACTAAATCATAGCATCAATGCAAAGGATGATGAGCTTCTTGAACACAAGGCTATGTATCAGTCGCTTGTAGGGAAGCTTCTTTATTTGTTTATGACTAAACCTGATATTTTCTATGCTGTCAGTGTTGTTTTAACATATGCATTGTCTTAGGATCACTCATCTTATGAAAATTGAGTGGATTCTTGATTACTTGAAGAGGTGTCCAATTAGGGGTATACTTTATCAGAATAATGATCAATTGATCATATGAAGATAGATGTGTATACTGATGTAGACTGGGCTGGGTGTATTGGTGACAAAAAGTCTACTTCAAGATATTATGCATTTGTTGGAGGAAATATTGTCTCCTAGAAGAGTAAGAAACTAAGTGTTGTCGCTCGTTCAACTACTGAGGTTGAATATAGATCTATGGTTCATGGGGTTTAGGAGGTGCTATGGTTAAGGTCTTTACTTGAGGAGTTGGGTGTCAATCATTAGATGTCATTGATGCTGTGTTGTGATACTCAAGCCACCATCAATATTGCTCACAATCCAATACAACATTATAGGACAAAGCATATTGAAGTGGATCAAAACTTTATCAAAGAAAAAGTTGCTTCTAAGGAAGTTTGCCTGCCTTATGTAGCTTCTGATATGTAATTGGTTGATGTATTCACCAAAGCTGTTGCTAAGGCTAAGCTGGAAGCTGATTTGTTGTAGTTGGGAATGATGAATATCTATTCCCAACTTGAGGGGGGAGTGTAGAGATGAGTAGTTAGTTATTAGCTATTTGTTTCTTGTTTATTGCCTTTTATTTTTTATTCTGTTATTTGTCTCTGTTATAGGCGGCATGGGCAGAAACTTTTTGGTCATTGTATTAGATCTCATTATAAATACCATTATTTGGGGCAGCAAACCAATCATTCAACTGCTCCCCTTTTTTCTTCCACCCTTTAATCTTCTTCTCTTATTAGCTGTTAATTTATGTAAAATAAGCTAAGAGATAGAAAGAAAAGGTTATATAGAAGTGCCCCTTGGGAATCCATGGAATGTTAGAATCTGATGTGTGTCCAACATGGATATTGATTAGGAGAATTCATGTAACACTGCAAATAATGTAGTAAAATGGAGAAGGGAACGAGGGACAATATGGTTGTATGAATTTTCTAGTTCCATTTTCAGACTATATCATGACATCAGTATTTATATCTAGGAGATAATCTCTTAAGCTGGCATATTCATTTGAGTAATAAGATGAATAAACTAAATGRTGTTCAGTATGCTTGGCTGTAGCAGTAACTCTGTTGTCACCTGTGAAAACACTGGCTTTAGATAGGTCCTATGATGCCTTAAACCACAACTTCTAGATTCTGGTCCTGGGTGGTTCACTCTTCAAATACAACCCAGTTCCATTTACACCTGCCATAGACTATGAATCAGCCATGCTATTTGCTGCTGTTGGATCCTCATCGAGCTGTGGTATTTAGAGCTCTTACCAATGATCTTACCTCTGATTGTGTACCTATGCTGCCAAGATTTTTTTATCACATTTTAACTTGTTCCCAGGTTCCAATGTAGTAGTAGTTGAAGAGCTTGGCATTTTATCTAAAATAGCCATTACCAAATGTTGGTCCCAGCTACCTAGGAGGACTGGAGGGGTGRACTTGTATACAGACCTAACCTTTGGCATGTTATAAAAATATTATTCCTTATGAGTACAATCAAAACTAAGAGACAATATGATGTATGGCAGAAGGGAATGGTTTCTGGAATGGGTTAGTGGCATGTTGAAGGAGGTTTATGGCATGTTGGTAGTGGGTTGGATGGTGAACAATAGTGAGGGTCCTTGGGTATTCAGTGAGGTAATAAGGGAAATCAGGAGGCTAGCAAGAGAGGTTGAGACCACTTTTAAGTGGGTTAACAGATCAGCAAATACGCTACCAGATACCTTAGCAAAGCATGGGGTGAGTAAGGAGCAACTATTCTGGACTAACTTGTAAAATTTATGTGGGGTTGATAAGTTGATTTGGGTTGAGAGCCATGACTAAAATGTCTAAATTAATACAAGTTACTGGTTACCAGTCAAAAAATAAAAAATCCAGACCTGAGAGTGCAGAGGCTTCAGATCTTAATGCCCTGAACAGGCGACCTCTAGAGGGTTGTCATAACAAAGATCAGGCCTTCTTTTCCTTTTCCCTAAGAACCTCCAAATCACAAATCATGCTTTTTTCCACATTTTCTTATTTTTCCCATTCCAACCCTGCATTTCAATAGTTGTTTCAAACTATCTGAATTAAGATCTCCATAAGCTATACAAAGTCATAAATTTCCAACACGTACCCTGTTTAATATGTTACTAGCCAATAACCCCATTTTTATCATGGGCATGGGGGCAGTTAATTCAAATTGGGTAAGTTTGTGCATGATTATCTCTATCTCTTGCTAAGAACTCTGATCTTCCTAAGACCTCTACAATCTTTACATCTTGGTCAACCTTAAATTTCCTCTAAAAATTTCCTAATGATTCAAGTTATACAAATTACTAGAAATCAATTTAGCTAGTCTCCTTAAACTTCTCCTGCTCCTAAGACCTCTGCAACCTTTAATTGCTCAATCTCAAATTTCCTCTAAAGTTTCCTAATGATTCAAGTTCTAAACTAAACCTCTTAATACAAATTACTACTCGAAATCAATTTAGTTAGTCTACTTAAACTTCTCTTATTTTTATTTGTGGGTTTTTAATTACAATTAGGAAATTGCAATTGTGGTTTCAAAGAAATTCTTCTCTTAGATTCATAAAAAAGAAAAAAAAAAGAACTTCTCTTAGATTTGCCTTAATTTGCCAATTGGGGATAGAATCAGAAACACTCATTTTTTGGATATTTTCTAGCATGACTCACATTACTCCATTACACACATATGGGGTCAACTATCCTATATAGTTAGGATAAGGCTTGGATGATGATGATATATGGGGTGGGATTGGCTACATGAATCCTGTTTTGCCATTCTGTTTTGTTTAATGTCCTTTTTGTTCTACCCCTAGCCCTTCTAGCCCCTTCAATGGAGCCTTCAGTTTGAGGGCTCTGTTTTAATATATCTCAAGGACAAAAGACTAACACATTTGAATTGAATATCTAACTGTAATAAAGTACGTGTTTAACATGCATATCCTTTTGGTCTAGGCCATCCCGGGCCTTTGGAGGGGTGTACTGATTACAGACCTAACTTGGGGCATTTTAGTACGAGGTGTTTGCTCTTAGACTTGACAGCCTGAGATTTTATTATCAGAAAAAGCAATTGAATTGACATGACAATGGCCTCCATAACATTTATATATGCCTTCATTTGTAGTCTCCATGATTGATGTTCGAAATTCTCATAGACTACGAGTCTATGACTATTGTGGGTCATAGACTATGAGTCTACGGCTTAGTACAAATTACTACTCGAAATCAATTTAGTTAGTCTACTTAAACTTCTCTTATTTTTATTTGTGGGTTTTTAATTACAATTAGGAAATTGCAATTGTGGTTTCAAAGAAATTCTTCTCTTAGATTCATAAAAAAGAAAAAAAATTCTTCTCTTAGATTCATAAAAAGAAAAAAAAAAGAAATTCTCATAGACTACGAGTCTACGACTATTGACTATATGATTTGATCACATCTTGTTTCGAGAAAATTATCATTTCCATCTTTCCAGTAAGCAAATGTTGTAGTGTCACAACTTATGCTTTTTTTTCTTTGTAATAATGGATGTCAAATTTCCATTCATAAATGTCTGGTAGGAATTTTTATCTATCTATCTATCTATCTATCTATCTATCTATCTATCTATCTCTTTAAATTTTAAGATTTTTTTGTTGATGAGGATGTATTCTATTTTAGTTGGCTGTAAATTTATGTGTAGGTATTCTACTTCATTTTGTGTACTCTTTCTGAGGGTATTGAGGTATTATTTAAGATGCTAGTTTGGCTTGAGCATGATTATTTATTACTATTTGGTTGGCAGATATGTCTCTTTTGACTTCCATCACTATTGTGGGAACTCAAATTTTGATAACCTACAACTTCTCTATGATCAAATCTCTGTGGATGTTGAAAAGCAAGGGTAATGACATTAAATCAGTAATTTGTTCTATAACATTTTTGCATGAAGGCATTCAATGGGGTATAGTTGTTACCGGTGATTCCATTCCTAATTTTAATGTTGTTTAAGCTGAGCAGATACTTTCTAGTAGATTCAGAAGGAAAAATACTAATGGAACAGAAAGGAGCTATTAGAGTTAACTGCATCGATTGTCTTGATCGAACAAATGTAACACAGGTTGGTTGGAACTTTTTGCTAATTGTCTTGATTTGATGTTCATTCTTCATTCTTTTTTCATTGATGATGTTGAAGTAGATATATAAAACAGCTTCCTATATGTGTGCCACCAACCTTGAAGTTGTACCACGATAGCCTCTGTGTTTGGAGTAGTTGGGGTCGGTATCAGTGCTTATGCAACTTAAAACGCTTGGAAAATTGAAGCCTTAGAACATCAAAGCAGAGTAAGATATTTTTCTAGGAGTATCTGTCTTCACAATAAAATTGGAAATTTTGGATCACAATATGGAACTTATCCTTAAAGATATTAAGATATTAGGTTTCAAGTATGTAAACATTCATGTGACACTAAACAGAATAGTGGAACAGGATTCATGTAACTGACCCCATATAGTTGGGACAAGGCTTAGTTTAATTGAGGTTTCAAGTATGTCAACCTTTGCTAGACAGGGAGCTATGCATAGGAAAATTTTGTGGTAACTGAAGTTTGAGCAAAAAATAGATAAACCTACTTATCCCTTGAACCAGAGAAAATACCTATATGCTTATAAAGTTGACTATAGTCCAGATATACTTGATGGGTGGGTAAATGTGAGTTGTCCTATAATGATGTCATAGACTACTTGGTGCTTCAAAAATGAAATAAAAAATTAGAAGAAGATTCTAAGAGATTGGAACCCACCTGAAAATGGATTCCTCAAACTGAATTTTGACGGTAGTAGTTTTGGCAATCCAGGTCCTTCCAGAATTGGAGGGGTAATAAGGGATGGAAATGGCATAATTTTGGTTTTGTTCTCAGGACTGCTTGGAGTAGGGGATTCAACAACAGCCAAGTTGAAGGCAGTGGTCTTCGGGATTCAAAAAGCAGTGGGGTTAGGGGCAAGGAAGCTGATAGTTGAAGGAGACTCTAAAGTTATCATAAGCTGGCTGAAACAAACTGAGAAGACTCCTTGGTGCTTCAAAAATGAAATAAAAAAGTTTAGCAGCCTATCAAGGGATATGCAATTATTTTTTCAATGGATCCCAAGATCGGCCAATGGTTTAGCAGATCACATAGCAAAGCAAGGGGTAAATAGGGAACAATGTTTCTGGACTTACTTGTAATATAAAAGTTATAGCTTTCTGTTAGCTGATGTCCTGTGCTTACGTTTGTTTTGGGTAGCCAAGGCTACCTAAATGGTGTAACTTTATTTCTTTATCAATAAATTATCTGTTGCCGATCAAAAAAATGAACACAGACTACTAATAGGTAATGGCATGATTGCAAAGATGGAACACATTTAGTTGTTGGGGCCCATGATTTGATGGGTCCGACATAGAACTACATGACATATAGCTTGAGCTGAACAAATAACACCATTTCTATGATCTTTTCTGCTTCATTTCCCCAATATTCTGTAACAGTCCAAAAGAGTAACTCATCAGATGGAACAGTCACCTTTTGACTTTTGGCATTGGAATGTGGTGTTATGTTGTTTTTCTATCCATGTTCTCTGGTTGAAGGTTATCCTGGATTTCCATTTAACTAGAAAATATTGTATCATGAAATCAGTTGTGTTATATGCATGTTTTGTTTGACCATTTTGACTCATCACTTTCATGCTTTCCCAGAGTTACCTGGCTCAGAAATCTTTAAATTCACAGCTACAGAGATTGGGTGCACTTTCTTCCACTGAGTGCATATCTAAGTTTGATGAAATTTATGAAAAGTTCAAGACGGGTAAATACTATTTGTATAATTCTGGTGTATATGCCACACTAATCAATTTAGTAAGTTGATCTTCTATTTATACATTCTACCTTGTCAACATGTTGCTTCTGGTAGTATGGATTGAACAGGGTGACGAGATAAGCCTGGAGTATTCTGGGACACATGCCCTAAAACGTGACCTTGTCAGGTAGTGCCTCTGTCACAAACATCTGTAGATATTTACCATTATCTTGCTATCTATTTTCTATATCTTCAATGCATGAGAGAACATCAATCTCTATATCTATTTTCTTTTTCTTCTATATTTATTTTCTACATCTTCAAGAAATCTGCAAGAAATTAGATGCCAATAATTCTACTAAGATATTTTGGATTCACAATGCTGTAGATTTGGAAAGCAAACATTTTCTGGACTAATTAAAGATGGGATGAGTGCTCTTTCAAGATATTATTTAAACAACTTCCACGATGGCATTCGGCAGGCAAGCTCATAGTATATGAAGTTATAGTTTCTACTTTCTGCCTATAGATACATCAAGGCTGTATAATGGAGACAGGAGTACCAGTATGCATGATTGAAAATTGCTCAAAGTTTTACTTAATTTCAGGATGCTATGGATCTCATAAGTGGCCACTACACTGTCAACAGGAACAATCCTTCTCCATTCCAGCTGAATGGTTTTGAATCATTATCAGTAAGCAATACCAGTGCCTACTCTTCCTTTTTGAACGTGTTTCTAACCCTCATCTTGATGAGAACTCACAGTACCTCCTGACATTTTCCATCCAATAACTGGGTTATCACAATAGCCCAGAACAATTAAGTAAATGTGCAAAGTTCAAACCACTTTGCAGTCCTCATTAGATGGGATTCTTTATCCTTTTTTTTTCTTTTGGATTTAAAATGAATGCATAATAAAATTATTAGGATCAACTGGTGCTTGATTTTATGAGCCATACCCAAATCAAAATGTAGAGACCATCAATTGGATGTTCAGATCCATGAGATGGATGATCAGACTGCAGATACATGTAGTTCACATAAACCATGTGAGAAATCAGATTATTTGTGGCTTTTTGTGGAAACTCAGTATTCCAGTACTGTCTCATAGTTGCTCTTACCTGTGATTGATAAACCTAAAAAACTGCAGTATCTCCCGGTTGCATCAGCTTTACTAGTTGGTGGTCTTACATTGACATCCTTCACCCTCAATCAAGGTATTGCCATTTTCTTTCTACATCTTCTAGAGTAACTTTATTATGTTGCTCATTTTATTTGTACTCAAATAAATCATTGTGAAATTGGTTTGTGAGATGCTAAACCAACATATGGTTAATTTTGCAGCAGGGCGAAATGCACAACATTTTGCATCTTCTGTACTTTGGGCTGGTTTGACAGCTGGAGTAATGGCACTGGTAAAAGCTAATGGAAGGCAGTTCTGCTCTAGGCCTCGCTTGTGTGGTCTTTTGTAAATTAACAAAGTGTTTGTTTTGAATTTTATATGAAATGTATTTATTTTAAATCGTTGGATATCTTTAGCATAGGAAACCATGAAAATATACGAGTTTTTTTCTTTTCTTTTCATTCTTCCTTTTTGTAATATAGGGAAGATGTTTCATAACTACTATAATTCAAGCAACTATTAATGATGAAAAGGAAAAAAATACAAGAAACTTTACCTTAGTAGAGGAGTTTAGTTTATTTAGTCTGTGCTGTGATTTCATGGCATGGGAGATACTTGGACCGTGGTGTTATATTATCAAACAAACAGCCGGTGTGAACCCGTGGCATTGTAGCAACTGCTACATTGTTATCCTTGTTGAAATAATTTCTAAGGATTAAAGAAACACGGTAGCAGTAGCATTGCCAAAAGCAGTTTGATATAAATATCTCCCAAGTGTATAGGGATGAAACTGTTGTGGTAGCTTGATTGCCTGTGTATCTACAATTATAGCCTTAAGTTTTATGGAATCAACCAAATGCACTAGCTTAGTCCCTAATTCGTTGCTAGAATTATAGTTAATATTATCTAAAATTATGGTTTTTGCTGCTTTTCAGATGAGCTCTGTGTGTATGTGTGTGTTTACTATTTTTTCCTGATTTTTTATTTTGCATTTCTTATTTGAACAAATGCCTTAGAAACAAGAGATTTTAAGTAGGATTAAAACAGAGTATGTCATATGTAAATTTAGTACTAAGAATAAGAAGAGTGTAAATTTAGATATATTTAGGATAGGAGATCAAGAGATAACTCAATGTCACCACTTCCGGTACCTTAGTTCAATAACTCATAATAAGGAAGAGATTGAGGAGGATGTCATCGGAAGAATTAGAGAAGGATGGTCCAAATGGAGGGATGCAGTTGGACTTTTATACAATAAGTGAATACCACTTAGACTAAAAGGAAATTTCTATAAAACACTTGTAAAGCCAACTATGTTATATGGAGCAAAGTGTTGGGTAGTTAAGAAACAATGCGTTCAAAAAATGAGTGTCAGAAATGTAAATGTTAAGATTGATGAATAGAAAAACTAAAAACGATAGGATTAAGAGTGAAGCCAACCATAGAAACATAGGAGTTGCTCCAATAGATGATAAAAATGAGAGAAAATAGATTAAGATGATTTGGTCGCATGCATGGAAGATCATCTGTGAAAAGTGATTTGTTACAAGTTGAAAGGGCTAGAAGGGCTAGGGGTAGACCAAAAATTACTTGAATAAAAGCAATAAGAAATAATTTAAGCACTAACAATGGATATAGTTTTAAATAGAATGGATTGATGGAACAGGATTCATATAGCCAACTCCATATAGTCGTGATAAGACATGGATGATGATAATGATTTTTTATTTGAACAAGTCAAACAATTGAATCAGATGGTTGGAGTGTTCAACATCCAAGAATCACCCTTAATCTCCAAACTCTCAAGTCTGTGGACCATCTGTTTCTTTCTTGCTCCAAGGTTTTGGCCTTGGAAATTCTTTTGCTCGTTCTGGTGGCTTCCATCCCCAAATTAGGGGGAAAATACTATTGTATTAGTCCCCTATTAGAGTCTTACAAAACAGTTAGACGGTTAGAATATGGAATACCAGCTGCACATTCTGTTAGCCAGCTGGACTCCACTGGTGTACTCTATAAATATTCCTCATACAATGAATCAAACATGCGATTTCCTTCTTTTCTGGTTTTAGATCCCCTGTGTTCTATATATCTTCAATGTAGGGGCTCTTTCTTCTACAAAATGATTATTCTCCATCATTTGTTGGACTATGTGGAAAGAGAGAAATAGGAGGATTTTGAAAGATTAGGGAGACCTTTGGTGCACCATTCTATCTAAGGATTAGGCTTTGACTTTGAAAATTTTCAATGACTTCAAGCAATTTTTGTATTACTGGAATACCATTTTGAGTGTAGACGGTATGGACTGCAATATCATGCACAAGCTTTCTTACATATATTTTAACGAAATACCTCTAATTGCTCATAAAAGAAAGCTCGAAGAACACAACAATTTAATTTGGAAAAATAACAAAATTTCTGCATAAATTGATATACTGTTGCCAATGGCTCATTAGGATCCTTCATGGTATAGTTCCCACCTTAGAAAGTACTTGCACCAGAGATCAGCATGATCAGATTAGTTTTAGATATCTGATTATCTTTTTGTGCTTTCTAAGAATTGCAAAAATTCTTCTTTGCCACCTGTCTATAAGAGCATGCAGAAAGACAGTCTTGTGATGTCTGAAGCTGAAATGGCAACACTGATGTGCACGAAACCAAACTTAATTAGATTCAGAAGAATCTTCCCATTTGATTTGGGAGTCTGAATTATTTTCTCTTATTCATATTACTTCAACATCGTTTTTATGGCCATCAGCAACCCAAGTCGCTCGAGGTGGAAGAGCCTCCAAAGGTCCAAGCAGAGATCTGATTATAACATTCTTAGGCTCAGGTGGTGAGGATATAGCAATAAAATCAGAGATAGTGGCCCTCTTACAAGGCTTGAAATTAAGTAATAGTCTGCTCTTTGGGTCTAGAAATTGGAAGCGGAAAGGAGATTTTATGGAAGTCATCACAGAGTGGATGTTGCTCAAGTAATTTCTTGATCATCTTGTCGTCACGAAACCCCACTCTAGATCAACTGAACAGTTGAGTCGCCATAAGATTCAATGTGGACACCTAAGATCTTACCTCGTGAATGGGGTGACGAATCCTCCATGGACCATGCATGGGTCTCTAATCAATTTAATAGCAATTTGACAATCCACCTCGGTGGCAATGTTTTTTTAGGCTTATTGAGACAAATATGAGACCTTGAAGGAGGGATGGAATCTTAATTCTGATCAAGTTGCGTTGCAAGTACCCAAACCCAGAATCAAATAAGGATCATGCGTTGCCTCCATTATCTCACAATACTCTCAATGAAGAGTACAATCATCTTTAACCCCATATATGAGGGCCGTATCTCGGATTAATTCAATCACCAGAGCCTGTGAGCAAACCAGTTTTTCTTTAATTTATGCCTACTGAAATGGGTACCCATTTTGTACTTTGCATTCATAGTGACTACTGAAACACTCCAAGTAAGCTGTAAGTGCAGTGTATTCAAATAGATTTCCATGGATATATCTTCTTTCTGTGTTTCCATTAAACATCTACGTGGGAAAATAGTGATCTCATCAATGGCCACATGTCAGCATGCCTGAAACCAATTTTATTTTGATGCATCTACTTTGCATTCCGTTCTATAAAAACAGTTGTAAAGCCAGTTTTGATATATGGAGCAAAGTGTTTAGTTAAAGATACAACATGTTCAAAAAATGGATGCGGAAGAAATGTAAATGCTTAGATGAGTGAATGGTAAAAGTAATAAAAATAGGGTTGGGAACGAAGTCTTATCAAGGAAGTAGCTCCAACAGGTGATAAAATGATAAAAACTAAATTGAAATGGTTTTGGTAATGTGCAAAGAAGACTTCATCTACAACACCTGTTAGAAAAAGCAGTCTATTACAAGTTGAAAGGGGCTAAAGGAGCTAGGAAAAAGACCAAAAGAAACTTGGGTGGAAGAAATAAAAAATGATTTAAGTGTCCATAATTTAACAATAATATGACATTAAACATAGTAGAATGACGAAACAGGATTCATAGCCAACCCCATATAGTTGGAACAAGACTTAGATGATGATGATGATTACAGAGCACTTCCTCAATTGGCCTATTTTCTCTGATTTTCTTAATGTCACCATTCTTTATCAAAACCAACATCTCGTTAATATATGGATGTTCTAGACTGATATGATTATCCACAAGACCCCTTGTTCCTCATAAATATTTGATTTATTTGTAATCAGGTGAAAAAGAAACGGTTCATTGAAATTAAGCTTCTCTCTTTTTGGAGCAAGTTTTCTACGGGGCTACAAATATGACATGAGCCTCCTTAATATCTATTAGTCTAAATGGTTATGATTACCCGATCACATTTAGTGGATGTGAAATGCTGAACCAATCCTCAACCCATTTTTTTAGGGAGAATGACGGTTCAGTCTAGGGTCAGAATTTTTAGGCCCAAAATATAGTTAGAATGGGTGTCAATTCGGAATTTATGCCAATTCACAAGCGGGCAATAATGTGTAAAATGGGAGTTATTGACATTTTGAATATTTATAATTTTGTAGTGAATAAAAAATCTGCATCGAGTCTGTCCATACTTTTCCACTTTTTTTTATTGTTATTCTTCATGCCCTTTCCCTATTATCACAGTACTGATAAGAAGAATTCGTTGTTTTTTAGCAGTGTCCTATGAAGTATTTACAGGCATATACAGGCACAGCTGAGACAGAGAAAGCGTGGCCAAGCATTATATAATTGTACACTGGTGTGGATTTGTGATGAATGCAATTATATATGGACCATTTCAGCTGGGTGGGATCATTTGTGATCAATGAGGCGAGGCCTATTACTTGCTGCAAAGGAATAGGAAATTAATTAAGAATGTACTCAGCACAAGGACAGAGATAGGCGCACGTCGTCAATTTACTGACTGCCCAAACAGATCTCTTCTATGAACGTAAGAAATATGGCTTTAAGAAAGTATGAGAAATGTGGACTAATATTGTCCTTTCCTCAACCCCCTCCCTGTCTCATCTTGCTGCGTAAACTCTCTGTGTTTCTTTACCATGCATGATGGTGCAGACTCCTGTTATTAAGTGGAAAATGAATTTTGGTCATGTGTGCACTGTTGTTGGTCATGGCATAAGTATAACCAAAATCAAGGTTTACACTGTAGATACGTATCAGTCGATATGAGCCGATACATAAAGGTTTATGCAATTATTCGTACATGGATGGAATGGCCGAAACTCATTCCCATTCCACCCGTATCCACAGTAATGGGTGATACACTCATTTTGTCAGACTGAATCGAGCTGTTGTATTGGCAGACTGAATTTCTCTGTCTCACCTTATTTATAGGTCCATCCTCTCATTAATTCCTATCTTCAAGGATTGGAATAATTCAAAATTTCTATTATGGAAAAATCCTCATTAGTATCCTGTACTTTGGGCCTAGTGTTACTTTAGTTTTCAAACTTTAAAATGCGACAATTCAGTACTCAAATTTTTAAAACGTGTTAATTTAGCACCTACTATTAACCAATTTATTAACCAGATGTTAAGTGGTATTTGAAAAGACATAAATACCCTTCGAGTATCATCTAATTCCCTTTTTCAACCATCAAATGTTGACAAAAATGAACAGTCCCAAGTCCTTGCCTCTTCTATTCAAAAAAGTTAAGGTCACCAGAATGCCTGAGACGTGATCATGACTTTCTTGAATAGAAAGGGCAAGGATTTTGGACTGTTCATTTTTTGTCAACATTTGGATAGTTGATAAAAAGAATTAGATGATACTCGAAAGGCATTTGTGTTTTTTCAAATGCCACTTAACGGTTGATTAACAACAAGTACTGAATTAGCACATTTTAAAAATTAAGTACTGAATAATCACATTTTTAAAGTTCAGGACCAAAGTGTCACTAAGCCCAAAGTACCCATCAGGAATTTCCCTTTCTACAATTAATTATACACACACACTCTCTCTCTCATGCATTGTGTAAGACAATAGACAAGTGTTGCATGATACTATATAGAAGATGTGCGAGATGGGCATTCCAACTATTATAATTGTGCAAAGTAAGGCCACTGATAACTATAAACAATTGCTTGTATCCAAGGTACGTACACATCCCAATAGTATATATTGGGAACATCTCTCATACTTATGTATTATTATTTATGGGAAGAGGTTTCCAATACATGGTGGGATATGCTGTGAAATGTGATCTATGTGGAATAAATCCCGATTCTTTGATATTTTATAACAATTCTTTTGTTGTGATTTTCAAAAGATAATGGAATAAAAATGGTATAATGAGGTAATAAACCAAAAAGGTGTTAGAATCTTCAACCCACACCTAACCATATGCCGCTACAGCCGCATATTCAAAAACATCTCTCGTATTTACATGTTACCTTAAAAGGCCCTCAAATCGAGAGAGAACAATTATAAATATCAGCTCAGATCCCAAAAACAAACATTGGTAATTAGATCAGATTCTAAAAGGGGAGTATCAGTTTTGAAACCCTAACTGAGGATATTCCCTGCCATCAGGTTCATTCTCTAAATCCTAACCAAAGATATTCCCTATCAGGTCCATTCTCAGGAGTTACCTCCATTACCAAAAGAGATTCAGCTCTCTCACTCAGTCTTCAACCTCCCATTCTCCTCAGACCACTAGATCAACAGATTTAAGGGGGGGATCTTGTCCCATTCACACTATCACTCTAACTCTCAGAGATTTAGACCGCCTTACACCTAGTTTGATTATTTTCTCTCTCCTGCCTCAATTGTAGGCCATTTGATATATTCATCCTCTTTTTCAACTCCTATATTTATATTTAAGGATACAAATTCAAACTCAAACTTTATTAAATTCAAAACCCCATTAGTTCTACAGCCCATCATTTTTTTTGTGTTATAAAAAACTACAATCTAGAAAATTCCAATGTGGGTAAACTTTAGTCATTGATTTTTGACAAATGCAAAACCCTATTTCCACTGCATTACATCTTTTAAAGTTGTCTTTCCAAAAAATTGTGATATTTTTATGGATACAAAATCACAAATATATGTAAGCTCAAATCAAATTATAGCAGTTGTAGCTATTTAAGCATTACATGGTTTTTGAGCCATCATTGACCCAGACGGTTGGACCGTTCGGCCTGGGAACCATCTAGGTAATCTGTTCTATTTTATTTCAAGCCCAGTTTTTGGTCAAAAACCGTTGAATCAGTTAATGATCCGTTGATCTAGGTGGTTGAGCCATCAATCCGTCAATCCATTCAATGGTTTTTGATCGTTTTTTTATTTTTAATTATTTTGTAATTTTTATTGTTAAAACGGACCATCCATTCGAATTGAACGATTAAACCATGGATTTAAAAACTGGTGGCCAAAACAATTCTATTTCCGGATCATTTTTTAAAACCATGAAGTATTATAAATGTGTAGTAGGTATAGGATGGGTGTTGTGAAGGCTCCAAAGTGCTCATAGGGCTAATGTTTGACATTGACACGTTAATGTGAGTATAAAGGTTTTCTTTCTTATCCAAAATCTATTTAGAATCTTGGTAGAGCTTTTTACTAATGATGTCCACAGTTTGAAGCTGGTAAATTGATTTTTAATCAAATTTGAAGGTTAGTGGTGGCTTGACTTTTGATTTTTTTGTTGTCCTTAAAAAGGTTTCATGCATTAATTTTGTGAAGGAATAATTGGGTAGTCCAATGATAATTATCTGTTTCTCAAATAAGATATTGGTATCAAATAATGCATTCTATTCTATACTTTCTTAGGGTCAAAAAATATTAGATTCTGAGATTGTCATAATCATTTTCTAATTCCAAAAATGGGGCAGAGAAATCTATGCCGATGGCGATGAATGATCCTTCTAGCTTTCATGTTGTGAGACTTTTGCATCATCCACTTGTGTTGCCCATCAATTGGGCACTAATGGTGGTGTAAATTAGACAGACATCGGGTTAATCTATTCTTGATGCAAATTAATTTACCATGTATGGGTGGTTTGTGTTTTTCTTCTACATTGCAAAATAAAGAGCAGTCCAATACACGAGACTCCTGTCAATGTGGAATAACCTCTGTATATACAGAGAGGTTGTTTTCAAGATTTAAACCTTAATGACCTAGGTTACAATCGAACAACCCAAAAAAAAATAAAGGTCGAACATTGATTGGAAATCCTTCAAAGAAGAGATGGAAATGTAATTAGCTAGGATGAAGTCACTCTTTGGTTCTACAGTGAATGAAACATTTATTTTGGGAGAGTCACTACTCTTATAGACTGGTTGAAATCAAAAAGGAAATCAATGAGCCAAAGAAAATTTTGGATAGTGGGTTTGGTACTTAAGATTGTGATGGGTAATAGTCGCCATGACTCAAGAATAGCTATGTAGGTATGCATATGGCACGTATGGAGATTGGAGAGAGTGTTGCTGCTTCTGAATCTGTCATTGTGCAACGGTGGATTCAGATTTCAGAACCCCTTTTATGATCATCCAACATACACATAAAATGGTAGTTGTCAGTTTGTCACAAATGAAAGCAACAGAACAATTAGACTGAATAAGCATTAATTTCTAATTCTAACTAGTGCAATTGGGTGATTGCTGGAAACCCAAGTCTGACCCAGGTTGCTAGATACTGGATCTGGCCTAACTTGTACTTCCCCAGACTGTGCTACCTCTTTCATAGATACCCAAAAGCACCTCTCTCTCTCTCTCTCTCTCATATATGATACACACAGAGACACAGTGAGAGACAATTGTTGCATACTGGAATATGCTGGGGCATGTTACGTTATTGCTCTGCAAAGCACTACGGACTGTAGTCGGTCCCTCTTGGGGGGTTAAGCTGGTAGTGGCTTCACTGCTTTCCTGCCCACTACTATCTACTGACTGATCAGTCTAGCCATGCGCTCTTTGACCATCACATAGATCATCTTCATACCTTGAGCTTCCATCCTCTCTCTCTCTCTCTCTCTAGTGCTTTCTTCCTTCTTCCTCGTTTTATATCCTAAACGAGTAAATTTGTTTCACTTTGTACTGTTTATACTGGAATTGCACTCAAAAAGAATTGTAGGATCAGGACCGTCCATCGTGCAAAACCCCACAGTAATTAATAAAAAAGAATTTGGGTTGATAAAATCATGAGCTACGGTCAGTACGGTGAACCTAGTCTTCCAAAAAAAAATACTTTCCTTTAAAGCTGATGGACAGCGACTGGATCGTTATCATAAATCTTTTTCCATTGCCACACGGCCCACACCATGACCGTTCATCGCCCACACCAACAAGCCCAAACGATTCGGGCTTGTTAATGAAGCGGTCCACTGGGCCCACGATCCATTACAACTGTATCAAGGGTCAAGTCCCTGGATTTGATGATATGAGAAGGAAGAGATGTACCACTAGTGTAGTGAGTGCTTTCCAATTTCAAATAGCCCAGCTCAGCCCATGAAGCAGTAAACGTCACGAAGGGAGGCCCATCAAATTCTAGCAATAGCAATTAATAATTGCGATCGAGAAAAGGGAAAAAGGGTCCAACTAGAGGGCAGAAAACGACAGACATCTTACATCTACACCCGTTGACCAAAAATGGATGGTCGAGATTGCTCTTGTCAGAGGCTTCCCATATTCGGGAGGGATGCAGAGCGTGGATTCCACGATTCCATAACGTCAACCTTACTGCTAATAGAATCTCGCCACGTGTTGACTCTCGGAAATGTTCCCTATATATAGACACCAGCCTGCTTGCTTCTTTGTCTACAACCCTCCGTTCGTCGTCGTCGTCATTCATTACGAAAGAGCAGAGAAACATTGTAGATCAGAGAGAGAGAAAGCAATGGCGGTTGGGATTCGGCTATGGAGCTGCATCTTCTTTGCCTTAGTGATAATCTGCTCCGCTCGCAACATCATCCCTCTTGTTCCAGGTACAATATATTTCCTTTTCACTTCCTCTTTCTCTCTCTCTCTCTCTCCGTCCATCTCAAATTTCATTCATGGACACGTATAGTTGAAGTTGAGCTAGGTCTAGGCGTTTTTACGCTTCTGTTCTTTTTTTCTTTTGTAATGGAACGACGACGGAGAGAGAGCTACGTAGCCGGATTTTCTTGTGTCTCAGAGAATAATCCGGCTAATAGAATGGAGCAAGAGCACCATTCTGTTGGACTGGTTTCAGAGATTGAAAAGGAGCTCAGTGAGTAGGGAACCGAGCAGTGTTTAATTCGTCTGGTTGAAGTTGAACCAACCAAAGAGAGGAATAATAAATGATCATAAAACCATTGGAAGTACGCTGGTTTTGTGATTTCAATTTCCATGAAATAGTGTGACGTATTGCAGAGCGTGGAGTACTTCGTGTATCTAATTATTCACGGGAGATGTTCTCAATGCACGGTGGATGTGCATGTGAGGCGCCCATTTGTGAGGAGCAGATCCCGTCTCTATCCATCAATGTCTGATAACTGTGAAAGAACTTCGTGCGACGTGAAGTAGCACTTATCGTGAGTGGAGTAGGGTTCATAGTTCATACAGTTGGGACCACCGGACCAGTCACCAGGCTACGGTTACTGAGTCAAAATGTGTGTTTTTTTTTTTTTTTTTTTTTAGAGACCGGTATGAACTATCTATCTAGTAGTGAAACCTTAAGATGGAGAGATAGTGTACTCACAGGAATTAAACATGGTGTCTGCAAGCAGGGGACGATGAGATGGCGGTGGTTGTTACAGGAGGAAGGTACCTGAAAGCCAACACCGACGACTACAGAGACCCTTCGGCGAGCCACGAGCACGATCCCCGCAACAGAATAGGTAGCGGCAACGGTGGCATTCGGAGGAATGGAGAAACTCCATGACCACCAACAACAACTCCACACCGCTGTACTACGAATTCTGCTACGTATATTATTAAACATAGAAGTAAATACTTGAGAGGTTTTGGACTTTGGTTTCCCAAAACCCTAATAAAGAAAGGGAAATATGCTCTCGTTTTGTATGCAAGGGGGCTGTCACCATTGCTATTACTTATTAAGTATTTGAGATGTGTGCGCTCCATCGGGCCGAGTATGTTATATGCATTGTTGTTTGTTGGTAGGCTCTTCAGATTTTTATTTTATATGACCCAGACCGACCACTCGACCAGTCTCTTATCTCATTGTTTAACAGCTTAATTACTTATATGGAGTCTTGTATTAACTATCCGTTTCGTCTATATTGACGACTTGTGTACTGCTGTAAACCATTCCCCCCACCCCCACCAAAAAAAAGAAAGAAAAAAGTCTTTAGGTACCCATGAATTGCACTAATCTATCGGAGCACTCTCATCTGCAATTTAGCACGCTCTCATTTTCAAGAAGATTATTTTCTTGTCTGTAGGCTGTACATGGTTTGACGACTCGGAAAATAAGACAAAAAWCAGAAAGTTGAGTAAAAGTTCTCTGGGAATTTTAAACAAATTTTCCCTTGCTTTTTGTTTCTCTCTTATTTTCTATCAAACCAAACAAAAAAGGCGATATTTATGTAGAGCAAGTAATCCATCAATGAAGTAGTTATACCTTGAAGACTTGAACAACAGAGAGTTTCAGCCTTCCACTGTAGCAGTTCTATCCGGAGAGTTTCCGTTGTCCATCTATGATCTTAGAGAGAGAGAGAGAGAGAGAGAACACTGTGTTCAATGAGAGTGACACGCCCGCCAGGTTTACTCTCCTTCGCCACTACCGAAATGCCACGGTTCTACGGGAGCAAGGCCCTTCTCACCAAGTAATAACAGAGTTGAAGGCCACATGTCAATGAAACAAAGACATTAAGAAAACTAGAAATATCGTTCATGAATCCGTTTCAGCTTCAGAAATATATCTTTCACAATTCACACCAACAATATCATTACTCGATTGATTCGTAAATCAACAACGTGAACGAGTTCCTTCGGGAGAAAGCTTGCCTATCAAGAACGCTATCTCAGCGCAGCGCGAGCTGCTCTCGCCAGCGCAAAGTCACTGCACCAAAACCCGTATTCAGGAGTTGGGAGGCCTTATGTCCCTACCACACGAGCTCTCTCTCTCTCTCTCTCTCTCTCTCACATTACCATGTATCAATGATGCGACGAAGGAAATTACTTGGTTCACTTCCATCGAAGGGTTCAAACTTCAAACCTGGGCTACTGTTCCGGTTGGCTGTCAATTGGGTGGAGGACCCGGCGGAGGATCAGTTCCGTAAGAACGAAGGAGAAGGACAGAGCGAGAGCGGGAGAAATTAAAAGTTAAGCGTAGAGGGAATAGATGCGGCTTCGGCGCTTAAAATGCTGACAGCATCAATGATTGCGGAAACTCTGAGAAGTAAGGCAAGTTGGTTACGGAGATATTCAATCCCCTTCATAGTTCATATCGTTCAGACGACGAGGTTCTTAGCAGCTGCTGCCCAAAATCCAGATTCAGATTCCAATGTCAGCAAGGCTAAGAAAAGGAAAAGGCGTGTCACCCTGTTTATCATTTTGTATTTTCGTTCTTAAGAGACTCTGTCACCAACATTTTTCATTGTTTTATTTCCACGTTAGAAGAAAGCTGCAGAATAAGAGAAAAATCCATAAAATCATCGCCAAAATGAACCCATACAAAAGAAAGAGACGAAGCTAACTATGGCTAAGGATTATTAAAGAAACCTCGCACTTCCAATCTTTATTATAGTTCGTACAGTCTGCCCAACATTGGGGGAATTAATCAACCAATCTGGCTGCATTACGTTTATTTCTTTTTTGCCAGAACAGACGCAAATACAAGATCCGAGTCCAGATTCCAGCGAGAACTGAGACCATGTTAGAGGCGACTGCGTTTGGTCAATGCAGCTGGTTTGAAGCTTGCAATCCCGGTAATTTCCCTCCCCGTAACCAAACTATTAATCTCGTAAGTGCCTTCATATGTATAAATGGGCTCCAAATCGCAGAATGCCTGAAGACAGACAAAAGATTAAAGGTCATGTCAAGTCAAAAGTCATAAATACATGATCCGGAGATTAATTGTCGATTAACTAGCAAATGATCCATTATTGATGGGTATTTTGTTTGATTCACTATCCATGTGGTGAGTCTTGAAAGATGGGTTTTTAATTTGATTCAGAGAATAAATTAGGATTAATTTGTGAGTGAACAACACATTTTTTTCAAGAAAAATGGGATCAACATCAATGCAATTGTCTTCTGTTTAGAACCTTCTATCTACAGGTCTACATGGTCAGTTTTATAAGCCCTTTGATTTGGCTATTTTTTTTTAGTAAACTATGTTTGATTTGATCTGTGGTTAAAAGATACGAACTAACTTCTTAATTCGAATTAGAAAGCAAAACAAGTTTAGAGCTAGAACTGGAATGGGGCTCATTCTACTCTATATGTACTTTTGTTTTGAATTACAACTTTTCTACTCCCTTCCTTTGAAAAGGAGGCCTAGCCAGGTGTTTGGAAAAGCTCTACTATATAAGGGGCTTTGCCTTAATATGTACTAGCGGCAGAGCTGTGGTGGAAGGAATGCGGGAATGGGGGGTTTACTGTGAAATCTTTTATATAGCTTTATTAAGGGCTCAGGTGGATGCAAGTGGTTGTGAAAGTGTGTGGGATAATCCCGTCCCTCCAAAGGTAGAAGCATTTACGCGGCCAGTATCTATGGATAGTGTTTTAACTACAGATCATCTGAAAATCAAAAGGTTTCAGCCTGGCAAATGTGTTTTGTGCAAAGAGAACAAAGGAAACAATTTTTCATTTGTTCTCCTGTACAATTGCTGGCTTTTGCTAGAAGTTTTACTCGGCACTTTTCGGAATGCAAGTTTTTCAACCAAGGTCCCCAGCCGAAATCTTTTCTAAGTGGCCATCACTTGGAGGAAGCAAAAAAGCTAAGGTGGTGTGGAGCTGTATTCTGCTTGCTATATGTTGGTTCATCTGGAGAGAGGAACAGAAGAGTGTTTGGAGATAAATAGTGGAAGATTGAGAAGATTGTAGCAGCCATTTGAAAGTGTGTTGCAAATTGGGTGTTTATAGTATATGAATTTGCAAAAGTTTGTTGTTTAGATTTAGGAGCTATTTTTTTGGGATGTACTTGAAGTACAAAACTGTAATTCTAAAAGCTTCTTTTGACTTTTCCCCTTGGTGTTTCCTCAACACCCGAGTAATTGTAATCATCTTTTTTTATTTTTAATGAATTTTTTTTTCTGTTTACTATAAAAAAAAGAGGAATACACATGATATGATTAAAGGATAAGGGAAGAAATCATAAAAATTCAGTAATATAGTACATTACCTTTCCAGAAGAGAGAATTCTGTACATGCAAGAATGTTCCATGGCACCTCTCAATTAGAGCTAGTTACTGCTCCTTTGCTTCAACAAGACCTCTCCCTCCCCTTTCAACTAATTTTATGCATCTTTATTCTTCTTAATATAAAAGATTTTTATTAAAAATAAAGAAAAAATGAGATCCCCCTTCCTCTTCATCCTCCTCCCCTTCCTCCTCCGAACCCCCCTCCTCTTAAGGAGGCGTAAAGCCTCCTTGTGTTCAGGAGGCTTACGCCTCATGTGTTCTGAACTACGCCTTGTGCGCCTCCGTGTTTTAAAACATTGGTTCTAAGGATTGTAAGGTATTTGAAAGGAGCTCCTGGTCGTGGCTTGAAATACAAGAGTGGAGGAAATCTTTGTGGGGATTGGGAGAGAGAGAGAGAGAGAGGAAGAGAGAGGTACGGTTGAGAGGAAAAAAGTAACTATTGGCTGCCGCCAGTGTTCTATTTATATTAACTTCATAAAAGAATCAGAAATTACAAATATGCCCCTGGCGACATATCCTAGAATCAGAATAATAAGAAAAAAGAAAGCAGAAAAAAGAAACAAGTAACTGTAACTGCCCAACAGCCTACTAACAGCAACTATAAAGTAACAATTAAGTAAGCCTTACAACACTCCCCCTCAAGTTGGGCTGAAGATGTCTATCATGCCCAGCTTGTCACATAACTCATTGTGCCGTGAGCACGGAAGCCCCTTTGTAAGGACATCAGCAAGTTGTTCCTTGA